TACTACTACTACTACTACTAGCTACGAACTAACTACTAACTACTACCTAGTAACTACTAACTACTAACTACTGACTACTGACTAGTGACTACTAACCACTAGCGACCAACGACTAGCGACTAACGACTAACTACTGACTACTGACTACTAACTACTAACTACTACCTACTAGCTACTAACAACAACTACTACTACTACGACGACCACTACGACTACGACTATGAGTACGACTGCGACTACTGCTACGACTACGACAACTACAACGGCGACTGCTACTACTACTACTACTACTACTACTACTGCACCTTTTGGAATTCAAGGATGGTGGTCGGCTTCTCGATCAAGCGTTATACTACCGCAAGCTCCATCCAGACCAGGACGATGCATTCGAAGCAAAGTGCGCGAAACTAGCATCATGATGAAGCTAAGCGCAGTGCTAGGCTCCATTGCAAAGACCCGGTTGTCGAAATCGTCCTGGAACTGGCCGACATGCAGAAAAGAGTGATGATGATATTACTATGAAACTGGAGTTGTGATTAGCTATGTATCTCAATGTACGTACGGTTGCATACTCATACATCTCATCATCTTGCGGCCAGTTTCGGTCCTGGTCCCTGCTCTCCCAACTCATTGAAAAGTGTACTACACAATGATCTATTGTATTACACCGTACCATACTCATAATATGTTCTGCTATGTGATATTATGTTGCAGTGTCCTATATTGTATTTTATTGTTCTATAAAACTATATTACATTATATTAGGCTATGCTGTACTCGGTTATATGATAATATGTTTCCTTACATTATGTTATACTTTGTGCTAATATTATTGTGTTATGTGGTATTGTACTGAACTATAATATTATGTTGTATTAAACTATCTTATATTATATTACATTAGGTTATATATGATTTATATTCTCTTATACAACTATACTATTTTATTTAGGTTATCCTACACTGTACTATAGTAAGTCAGCCTCTATTATATACTGATTTATAAAGGATCTTTTATTCTTCTTCACTATAACATATTATACCATATTGTACTATGTTATATGATAATGCATTGTGCATTCTATTGTACTATACTATACTATATTTTACTATACTATACTAGGCTATACTATACTATATTGTACTATTATACTACATTATACTACATGTTAGTGTATTCCTTTATGCAGCCCTCCGCTCGGTCCAGGGTCAGCGAGGGCAGTGGCTCGGTCGCATCGAACAGGAGCTGGCGCAGATGGACCCCTATGCATGGGTCGTCACCTTGATCGAGACAAAGCTGACATATGGGTTAAGAGAAAGAGACAAGCCATCACGGCACCATGTCGAGCTCGAGTTCACACTTGTTAAGCATGAGATCGCTCTCATGAAGAAGCAGATGTTGGGATTGCAGCGTGACTTGTCCCCAGTGACACATGCTGCACAGCGGCCGTAGATCATTCGAAGTCGGCCCTTGCCGGCACAAAAACTGCTGATGTCTGGCATCAAGAACCCATCGGCATCAACAGAGAGTGTCGCGAAAGGCATCCTCCGTGTTCATGCGAAAAATGCCATGCGCTGCACCCGCACTTGCCTCCTGGCTCGCTTTGGCCAGAAGACGGACGACATCCATCGACAGTACCCGCACAACGCCGCGCGGGTATGGCGGGAAGACGGGGAACGGGAAGTCTTCCTGAGTTGCGGTTCAATCTATAGTCGGCCTCCATTTGGAGCTTTCGCTTTAAGCCCTTGCAGCATGGATTGGGGAATCCCGTCACGAGAGGAAAGCATGTGAGATTCCTCGCGCCTCGGCATTGTAAAAGTTGTCGTCTTCGTCCCTAGGCACAGGGCTGATGTAGTCGAAAATTGCCCACGCATACCTTAGCAAAGCAAATCCGCAATCCCAAAACGTACATCCAACTGTATATCAAGCAATCTGACGAGTGACTGCGCTGGAATCCGCTTCTGGAGCTGCCTGCACAAAGCTTCTTCGGAGGAGTGACTGAACACTGAAGTTCGAAGAACTTTGCGAACACTTGAGAATTCCAGCTCTGCCTCAGTAAGGGCGCCGGGCGCAGGTAGACCTTGCTGTCATACATCGACACTCCGTGGCTGCTCGATATCTACCATGGAGCAAGCATCATGTGTTAGGTACCCAAAGATCGGCCAGGCATCGTCATCGTCTGTTTTCAGCAGGAATTCTGCTTCAGCACGCTCCGCGATCCACTCCAAGAACAGCAAACCCTGCAGGCACGGTGAACTTATGCCAGCCTGCTCGATCCGGATCATTACTTCGTAACCTGGCTTCGTACACTGAAAAAAGTGCCGTACTCTCGCCTTCCGGGAATTCATGCGGTAGCCCTCGGTCACAGGCAAGAATACCAGGTCGTTGTGCTCGTCGAGTTCTTGCCGCATGCGCCTCTCCTGACACAAATGAAAGCGCGACAAAGTCCTAAGCATCGCTGGACTGGCGGGGCAGCTGTAAGGGCTGTGGGCTAGAGTGCCGCAGTGGCCTCACTCAGCCAACAACTCCAAAGCCCGGCGCCCCAAAGCTCCCCTTTCAAAAGCATGTCACGCTGTCCTCTGCGGAAGCACCAGCACTGCCTTCGCCGAGGAAGAAACCTCGTCCGTGGGCCGTGGTTCAGCTGGTCAGCTCAAAGGAAAGACTGTTGGGCCTTGTGAGGTTATGTGAGCTTGTCAAGGGGTCGAAAATCCGAATCCTCACATCGCACAGATGACCAACTCGCACCCTTTACCCAAAACTCGCGACCAAAACTTTCTGAGACCCCCTCAGGCTTCAGTTTAAGGACCCCAGCCAACAGAACACTGAAATCTTAAATCCCTAAGCCACAAAACATCGAACACCCGAAAAGCAAGCCCTCAAAGCCACCACGGCTCCAAGAACCCAAGAAACCCCACAGCCTGAGCAAAAACCCTCTGTGGCAGCCCCAGATCTTCCAGCCCTCCTTTTTTGTCCCTAACCCTTCAGCCTAAAACGGTTTAGGGCTTGGGGTTGAGGGTGAAAAATCACACACACGAAAGACCCTAAGCCGAAAAAAGACCAAAAACACCCGAAAGCCCGAAAGCCGCTAAACCCCAAAACCGAAAGCCCCGGACCCTAAACCCCAAACCCAAAGAAAGGAACGGTAGCGGACGCCAAACTGCTCGCGCAGGAGACGGCCCCAAGTTTCCTCCGCAGGCTGGTGCATTAGACTTGCTGGGGTTTTACATAAAGCTTAGGGTTTAGGGTTTAGGGTTTCTGGTGTTTTACATAGGATAATGTTCGCTTTGTTTTGTATGTTTTAGGGTCTCCTGCCTGAGTTATTCATGCAAGGGTTCTTTTGAAAGCTATGGTTGCCTGATCCGAGAGTTCTCATTATGGCTGCGTTTCCTGTGTCTGCTGTTTTGCAGGATCCATCAAAACCTCGCTCTTGTTTTTTTTCACACCTTGAGGTAGCTTGTCTAAGCTCCTTGCAAGTCTCATATATGGCTTTTTTTGAAGTTTACCGTTACCTCATCTAAGGGTTCCTTTAAGGGTTAGTTTTATTTTGGCATGCATTGAAAGTTTCAAGGTACCTTACATAAGGATCCTTCTAGTACTGCCGCTGCTGTTTACAGGGTCTTTGGGATGGTTTTCTGAAATCTAAAGGTAACATCGGTACCTTGTTCAAGGTTCCTTCCAACACAGATCCTGCTATGTGCGGGTCAAGGATCATCTCGACTCCCGATGATCGGGTCTATCCCTAAAGCCTAAAGCCACAAGAGGTAGGACTTTAGGGGTTCAGGATTAAGGCCTTTTACGTCGGGTTCAGGAGTTCAGGGCTCAGGGTCTGCAGATTACGGATTTGGGCTTTACATGGCTAAGAGGTGTTAGGTTTGGGTCTTGGGTTCAGAGTCAAAGGTGAAGGGATCAGGAATATCGAAGGCTTGCCTAGGTATGGGACGTCTCCGGTGTATCTGACCGGAAACGAAACCCCGCAGGCACGCATCACGACCAAGCCGGGAAAACTCCGGCGTATCCAATCGAAACCGAACCTCACAGCCAGGCGTAATGAACATCAGCTGCTCATCATGCTGTATCTTATTGTAAGTTATCGAAACCGACATCATCTGGCGCCAGTCCGGTGTAAGACCGAGATTTGGACCCACAGCCACGTAGCATGAGGATCACTTCAAGGTGTGTATGCGAAACAAAGCCTCACGGCCAAGCATTGAAAGCATCAGCTGAGAACACTCCTAGGCATGTAACCGAAACAAAGCCCCCATAACCAAGCATTATGAGCATCAGCTGCCATCGCCCCTGGGTATGCAACCGAAACAAAGCCCCACAACCAAGCATAGCCAAGCATTATGAGCATGAGCAGGGATGGCATCTCTGGCTATGTAACTGGAGCGAAGCCCGGCAACCAAGCATCATGAGCATCAGCTGGGATTGCTCATAGGTGTCTAACTGAAACAGGAACCCCACAACCAAGCATTATGAGTATCAGCTGGGATCGCTCCTAGGTATGTACCCGAACAGCCAAGGATTGTGAGCATCAGCTGGGATCGCTCCTAGTTATGTACCGAAACGAAGCCCCACGAGCAAGCATGAGCATGAGATGCGACCGCTCCGCATTATGAGCATCAGTTGCCGTGGCCGCTTCGGAAACGTGGGCATCACGAGCATCAGTTGCCGTGGCCTTGGCATGACTTGCGCGTGGAAACCCGCGACACTGATGGCACAGCTGCCCGAGAAACATGAGCATCATCAGCATCGGCTGCAGTGTACTTGCCCACAGCTGCTGCGGACGCGACTTGCAGGAAACGACATGCCCTAGCCGGAGCTTGGATTTCAGTCCCAGCTGATGCATCATTCGTGGCCGTGGAGCCCGATCTCGGTCTTAGGATTGGCACCAACTGATGCATATGATACATATGATGCATGGTTGCTGCGTTTGCTTCCGATCAGAAAGCGATGGCACTCCTTATGCTTGGTTTTGCAACCTGATTTCCGGTCACTCTCCTGGGATCGATCCCAACTGATGCTGATGATGCGCGGCTTTGGGTTCAGTCTCGGTCAGGTGCAGCGGAGCGGTCCCAGCTGATGCTGACAATGCTTGGTTGTGGGCCTCGATCTCGATCACATGACCCAGCCGATGCTCATGAGACAAAGCTGTGAGGCACGATCACGATCTTAACAGTGTTTCTGATGCACATCACTCATGTCTGTGCGGCCCCGATTTCGTCCACACTTGGAGAGCGGTCCCAGCTCATGATCATGATTCATGATCATGATGCGTGGTGGGGTCAGGCGCACCGGAGCCGTCCGAGCTGATGCTCCTGATGCATGGCTGTTGGGTTTGATTTCGACCAGATACACCTCATCATGCATAGCTGTGGTGCATTAGGCATGGCTGTGGGCGTGATCTCACCGGGCCGGCTCCAGCTGATGCTCATTTGCAGGGCCCGATCTCCACCAGATATGCAAGTCGCGCTCAGGCCGCTTTTTCGGCACCGCCGCGGTTTTTGCGTGCCAGTCGCACCGAAGCCACCCCAGCTCATCTCGTATTTCTCGAACATGTTGCCGATGCCGTGGTCTCCATGTTCAAATCGCGCGAAAGCCACAGCAACATACAGCAACTGATGCTCATGATGCTCACACTTCTCGAGTACGACAATGGTGCCAAGATTTCTGCTTGCAGCTGATGCTCATGACGCTCGCGTTTCTCGAGCAGCTGCGATGTTGCTGCCGCGATGTTTTGCACAAGTCGCACCAAGGCCACACCAGCTAGCTGATTGTCATGATGCTTACATTTCTCGAATACGATGCTACTGGTGTCGTTGGTGTCGCGGAAAAGCTACGGCAGCTGGCGCGCATGATGCTCCCGTGTTTCGAGCAGCTGTGATGCAGTGCCGCAGTTTCCGTGTGCGAGTCGCGCCAGCTGATGTGCATGATGCTGACATTCTCCAAAACGATGTTGGCTTCGCGGGTTTGTGCGTAATCCGCAGTCAAGCTACGGGAGCTGCTGCGCATGATGCTCCCGTGTTTCGAGCAGCTGTGACGCAGGTCAATGCCACGGCAGCCAATGCTCATGATGCTTACGTTTCTCGTATACGATGTGTGTGTGTGTGTGTCTCGCGGTTTCAGCACGTGAGTCGCGGCAAAGCTACTGCAGCTGATGCTCATGATGCTCACTTGTTTCAAGCAGCTGTGAAGTGCGCCGCGGTTTCTGTGTGCGAGTCGCGCCAATGCCACGACAGCTGATGCTCATGATGCCTGGTGCTTGCGTTTCTGGGATGCGATGCCGGTGCCGCGAGGAGAATCCTCAACCCTAGAGAAGAGCAAAAAAGCACCCATCAATCTCCGCGTCTCCCTGACAGCTTGCCGCTTTTCGAAGTTCTTGCGGGCGGAGTAGATGCCAACGAAGACAAGCCTTAACATTGAGTCCAACTGTTCCACTCTCCAGGGCAGCCTTTTTTGGAACTGTCCATGAAACAACGCTTCTCAAATCAGGACATTAACTTGAGGCATGCTCCGCACCTATCAAAGTCCAGCCGGTGCTTTTCGGAGCCTGCGCCTGGACCATCCTCTTTCATTGTCCTAAAAGCCAGATGTTGCTGTATTGAACTGCTGGCTAGCTTGAGTCTTCCTTCATACGGAGCAATCGACAGCTGAGTCAAGTTCAGCAACAATAAGGGGGGAATGCCAGTTTTAACTTGGCACTACTGATACTTTGGGTTGGGGCCACCGCACAAATCACAGCGCATGTCTCATACAAGTCCAGCAACGGAGGCTGGGCCTTGGGAAGGTCAGCCAGCAACCTGTCAGGACAGGACTTCAGCGGCAAAGGTCAGCAGGGATGGACATGCGAAGAGCCAAATAGCAGCCCGCGGGCCAAAGACAACCATGCCCTGAAACGACGAGCACAAGGTTGACTCAAACGCGGACAAAAGCTCCCCGGCCTGCACATTGTGCAGGCTTGGCTGTAGAGCTTCTCCTCGAACGGCCTGTTGTATCCTCGTTCGCGTCAGAGAAAAGCACCAGACAATACGAGCCCTGCATCGTTTCTATGGGGCCACACAATTTGCAGGCACTGGATGCATCTGAGCCGCTGTACTGCACCTGCAGAGCAGGGGACCGTTCCAGCCTAACTGGACTTGAAGAGGAACAGGCAAGAACGCCTGATGGTCCAAGGACAACTGTCTCCCGAGCTTCCCGTCCAGAGGTCCCCAAACCTGCCAACCTTTCAAAGCCTGCCTGGTCTTGGATAATGCGCTGATAGTGCCAGAGCGCACCCAGCTGTTTGTTGTGCCTGAAACAGCTCAAGAACCGTGCACATCCTCAAGCAAATCTGCATCGTGAGTGCCCCAATCCATCACCACCACAACGTCCCTATGGGCACAGAGTACTATGATTACCATTCATACGATTATTCCTATTTTTACTACTATTACGATTGTTACTATTATTATGCTTAAAATACTCTTCTTCCGAGCTTCTTCGAGATCCACATATTCCCGCTCTCCCAATCTGCGAAAAGGGAAGCTTTCAAAAAAGGTTCTGTGCAGCCAAGCGACCTGTTCAGGGTTTCTATCCTGACGGGGTTTAGATGGGTTTAGGCTTTAGGGTTTAGGGTTTAGGGTTTACGGTTTAGGGTTTAGGCTTTAGGGTTTAGGGTTTAGGCTTTAGATGGCTTTGGGGGGGACATGGAAGCGGGGACGAAGTCCCAAGAAAATCAACTCTCGGACTAAGCCTGACTAGGCCGTGGACCTGGCTTCCCTCTACACTGCAGAAGCGCCCCGTGAAGCCAAGAAACGTCTCCATCAGATTGAATGGATCAGGGTCGTAGTCCGCAATGGCATTGAAGACCATCGCCCTCGCACGAAGGACTAGCATCCCAAGGCTGTGGCGGGAGTGGGTGTGAAGCCTTGGGATCGCATAAGGAACTCCTTGAACAACGGGCTCCTTCAAGGGAAAAACCTTTCAACGATTCTCTAGCATGCTGATGTGCCTCTGAGGGCAGGAACCTACTTGCGCTGAAGCCGGGGTACTATCAAGATTGCAGCGATTTCCGACCAATACAAAGCGTTTCTCAGCAGTTGCTTGAGTAGAGATCTGCTGCAGCAGATGCATGATCGTGTTGGTCCGATTGTCACCATGGCAAAAGCTGTGCAGTCGTGCAGCCCCACTTCCACGAAACCGTTGAAGACCGCAATCGTATGGTACCTTGTCTCTTGGGGTGGGGTTTCTCAGGATTGGCATGGAATGTGCTGATCGCGCAAGATGCTCTGCATCTGACGAAGTGCTTTTCTGATCCGTCACAAGAGAAACGGCTCACCGGACTACATAGCATGCAGAAGAGCTTTCCAATATGAATGGAACATTCCGTCAAAAAACAAAGCCAGATCGAAGACGTGTTTTACTAAAGCCTCCTTCTAGGATCCAAGCCATATGATCCGGTGGGGATGCGCTCTGCTGAGTGTCGGGCGCTAGGCTACCTGAGGCGAGGCAGGAAAAGCTCCAAGATCGCACAGCTCATAGGGTTTAGGGTTTTGGGTTTAAGGCTTTACACTGGGGATTATTGATTATAGAGTTTAGGGGTTTATAACAAGGGGAGGGTTTACGGATGTTTAGGGGTTCATCCCTCTGCTCGGTTTCCACTTGCAGCTTGGGTTCGGACGAAGAGCGGGGAAACAGCATGGCGCGTGGAATCCTCTTCGGGAATGATACCTCAGCTGCCCCGAATTCGATTGCATGGTCGTTTGGGGAGGGCAAGCTGTTAGCCCAGCAACAGAATCGATATCGTTCGAAGGCGGCTGCCTGCGACAAGAAGCAGAAGGAAACGGCACGTTCGACCAGCATCCTATGACCCCACGCAAAACTATCACGAGCTCAACATCGAGAGCCAGGAAGCCGATCTTGACACCTCGCGCAGGCAAGGAAACAGCTAGAGACTCTTATCTTAGGCTAACCCTAACCCCCCAGGTACCTACTATACAGGGTACTAGAGCCCCTAGGTACCTGGGGGGTTAGGGTAAACTATTATGATGGAAAAGCCACCACCACCGCATCCGGCTCAGGCTCCAGATCTCCAGATGCCGGGATCTGCCCCCAGACCGCCTCAAAACTCTGTGCAACCTCGAGGGCTTAGGGTTTAGGGTCCCCTACATCCAAGACTCCTAGACCCTAGAAACACCCCTCGAACACCTAAAACGCTTAGAACCCTCAAGCCCCAAACCCTAAACCCTAAACCCTAAACCCCAAAGCCCCAAACCCCAAAACCCTCGAAGCCCAACTGAGCTCAGGCCGCCTCGGTCTCGAGGCTCCCATCCTCCACGAAGACGTGCTCCGGCATGGTGGCCATGGCCTGCGACCAGGTTTAGGGCTTCAGCGCAGTCGGCGCTTAGGGGGCTTTAGGGGTTTATATGGGTTTATAGTCTAGGGGCTTCGAGACATAAGGTTTGAACTTGAAGAGGGTGGAGGGGTTTGAGGGTCCTTAGCCTTGTCATAGTTTCTCACCCGAAGTCCGAGAACCTGAGTGGAGAAGTAACACACATTTACGGTTGGAAGAAGACAGACTTGTTGAACTCAGACTGGTTCAGACGCGAGTTTTCGATCTCCTACACTACCAGTAGGCAGCTGCAGGAACAATTCAGAAGCAATATCTCTGCGTCAAGCCTGGCGGTAGATCTCCTCTGCGAGCTCATCCCACCTGTACCGGACATAAGCCATAAGCCCATTGACAGAAGAACTGAAGGCACCCGCAATCAAACTTCGGCATGCCGTACAAGACCTATAGCAACCTGTTTATGCTGGGCATGGCATGCCAGGTGTACGAAGCTACAAACCTCACTAGACTTTGCCGAAAAGCCTGAGGCACGTGTTGGGCTCAGTTCTGAGACGGCTTTTCTGGCTTCAAGGCCTGTCTCTGGGCGGCATCAGCACAGACAGAAGCTGCGTCTTGTCTTGCATGACGGCATCAAGATCTTGTGGCACTTGAAACTCAGAGATGTTCTCCAAGTAGAGCACCTCTGCTGACAGGCAACCTACTCCTTGATGCCTTCTAGAAGAGACAAAAACATGACAAGCCTGACAGCTCAACAAATGTTGAGGACATGCTATTGCTCCGTGTATCACCTGAGCCTCGTTCTCGGAAGCGGCCCAAGACCAGCCGAGCGACCGAGCCGTGACGCCCGCGAAATGGCACATAGGATCGTGAGTCCGTGAAGAGGAAATCAACCCGTCCTGGAAACCGAGGAACACACGTAGCTTGCGAGAGCTCTTTACAGAAGACCGAGGACAGGAGAAAGATCTTCGAAGAAAGTAAAACCAAGGCTAATGATGATACAACTTGCAATCTCAAAACGCAAAGCAAGACGAGTAACAGCAAGAACCATACAAGTTGAAGCACTCGTGATAAGAATAGTGAGAAGAGAAACATTAACACTGAGTAGTAACAGTAGCATGCATCATCATCATAATTTAGGCACCTGGAGAAGCCTAAAGTTGCGACGCTGGAAGAATCCGTGAACCTGAAACCCTGTCGTAGCTGAGCATAGCTTCTGAAGATGTTCCGATGGGGTATTGTCACGAAATGTACACAGCTATAACTCCAGAAGTCGACAGGAGAACTTCAGGCACCCAGGCAAGTACAAACAACCAGGAACCGTCAAAGACAAAGCTGACTAACCGAACCGGCGGAGGGGTTTTTGGGATTCCTAACGCTGGTGGGATTCCTAACACTGGCGGTCCCCGTCTAGCTTGCTAAAGTTGGCTCCCTGTTTTTGTTACTGTAAATCGCAGCATTTGCTACTGTTTTGCGTCGAGATATCGGGGAATTGCAATTAGCAGGGTCCCGTTTTGCACCAAGCTATTGGGGGAGTGCAATTTCGAGTCTCCGGTCTTGTGTCAAGCTATTGAGGAATTACAATTTTGCAGGGTCGTGCTTTCCTTGTTTAGGCTATTGGGGAATTACAGTTTGCAGGGGTTTGCGTTGTGTCAAGCTATTGGGTGGTTCCAACTAGCTTGGGGCAAAACAGGACCCTGCAAATAGGAATTCCCGAATAGCTTGACGCAACACAACACCCAGCAAATTGAAATTCCCCACTATCTTGACACGAGACAGGAAGGAGCCTCGGAATTGCTATCTCCCAAAAGCCCCAATACCTTGACACAACGCAAAACCCTGCAAATTGTAATTGGCAAAACACTTTGCGTCAAGCCATTGAGGAATTCCAATTTGCAGGATATGTCTTGCGTCAGGCTAGTGGGGAATCACAAATTTTGGGCTGTATTTCCTGTCAAACTCTTGGAATTTGAATCCAGTCATCCTCGCTGAAAGAAGCAAGGTTTGAGGCTGTCGCAAACACACACAGAGACACCTACAGAGACACACCATGCACGCCCACACGGAAGCAGGCAAACAAGGCCCTGGTGCCGGACCAGAGGACCAGGGGACCAGGACCAAAGGAGCAGAGGACCGGCCAACCCTACCAAGTTGCAAAAACGATAATACAGGATTTGCTCTTGTTTTGCAGGAAGCTATTGTGGGCAGGGACCAGGGGACCCAAGGGCCAGAGGATCAGAAAACTAGGGGCCGAGGCTAACCCTACCAAGGGCCCCAGAGCCCCAGAGCCAACGTTAGAAATCCCAAAAACCCCAGACCCAACAGAACTGGCCCGCAAAAAACAGTTGGTTGCACTGGCAAGCTCTGCGTGCTTCCTGGGGTTAAGGGAGGGTGGTTGAGAGTTCAGGGTACCCTGTACACAAACCCTTAAACCATGTACCCTAAACCCAAAACCCCAAACCCTCATGCTTCTAGCTTCCAGGGGCCGCCAGATTATGATGATTATCACTAGGATTTTGATGATTCTTATGATTACTATGATACGACTGTTATTTTGGTAGTATAATGGGTATTATGATTGCTATGACTGTTATTGATATGATTATGATGATTAGTTATTTTTATTTCACGGTTATCAGCTATTCTTAACTGTATTGTTCTCATTATTACTATTATTACTGGTATTCTTTTTATCTGCATCATTATGGCTCCTTGGCTGCAGCCTCTTCTACACGAGAAATCAGTCCGAACCGCGAGGAAACCCACCTGTTCTAGGGTTTAGGGTTTAGGGTTTGAACCTGGCCAAGTGCGATTCATACATGCGAAGCGAGGACAGGCGGCAAAAAATGGATGAAGATAGCATGTTCTAGCACATTACCACAGGTTATAGTATACTATAGTATATCACAGTATATTATAACATAACCTAAGATAATGTACCCTGCCTTGCAGCTCCGACGCGTCCGCACTTTGCAGGTCCTGATGCCGCTTGGATCTCTCACCCATTTCTGCTAAAGCCTGGGGGCCAGAGGTCGATGCCCCAAGGGTTCTCCGAATGTTCCTTCATAGCACCTTCGTACGATACAGAAGTCAGCTTTCAGGGGGTGCAACGCGTGAAGGGGGGTCTGCAGGAAATCCATGGGGTCCTTGTGGTCCAACCACGCCACACGGCAAGCGCTGCCGTCCTTGGAGACCAGAAGCAGCTTACCCGGCCTTCGGGCTTCAAGTGACACCACAAAACAATGACACTTCTAAAAAAGTGCACAGCGACATGGTCCGACCGCTCTCCGATGCCATGAATGAACACCTGCGTGCGCGCGCGAGTAGAGAGGTTATGATTCTCAATTCTCGCTCGCCTTAAAAGTAGATTACGCCCACTGCCACCACGACCCGTAACCACAAGGACTGTTCCCGGGTTTCACTCGTCTTCAATGTCTCCATCCCGATCTGCAGTACCATTACTGCCGCCGTTTTACCAGTACTAGCACTATTGCTATTGCTATATCAAATTACTGTTACTATTTCCGTAAACTTGTACTATTACCGTTACTCTGTTTCCGTTCCGATTACACAGTTACTGTTTACCGCCTGCACGTCCAGGCCCTCGATGTTGCACTCGGAGCGCCAGCCCTGTGCTAGCGGAGTGAGGGCCACAGGTGCTAAAGCCACCGCAGGGAAGGCACCCATTGCTCCGCGCCCTGGGAGATTCTCTTGGGGTTCCTTTCAAAGGATTCCTTTTAGGGCTTTTTTCGGGGTACACTTCTTTCAAGGGTTTGGTTTAGGTTGGCACGTGAAGAAATGATCGGAAACTGTTTCTTGCGCCTTTGGCCGAGTTTGAGGCTGAGGATTACGGTTCGGTTTGCTTGTAGCTCAGGCCTTCCGCTCCTTCCGGAAACTCGGGGGCCATTGCAGATGTGGTGTTGGGCATGGGGCTGAGCGTGGGTCGTCTAAAGGGTTCCATGGCTCCAAGCTTTCCGCAGCTTCACGCTTGAAGCCCAGAGCTGGTCGGAACGCGATGAAATTGCACGAAGACCGTGTACGGTAGAAACATGTCTATAAATAAATATGCATGTATATGTGTATATATATATA